AGTTATATCTCAGTGATACAACATCCGATCTGAACCAGATTTTTGGTGCGTCATTACTGAGAACTGATGGACATTTTAGTTGTGTTGTTTAATATTTGACTCAAGGGCGCCCCCTACATTATTCAAACTGTTTTGTCTCAGTGATATATCAGCCAATCTGCACCAAATTTATGGTGTATTATTATTTAGCCCTGGTGGACACAGTAGTATAGTTTTTTTAAATTTTGACTCTATAGCGCCCCCTAAAATCTTGCAACAGTTATATCTCAATGATATATCATCCGATCTGCACCAAATTTTTGGTATATTATTATGTAGCCCTGATGGACACATTAGTAATGTTTTTTAACTTTTGACTCAAGAGCGCCCCCTATAATATTCCAACCCTTATATCTCAATGATATATCATCTGATCTGCACCAGATTTTTATGGCATAATGTGTGACCATGTCTAAACACATTGTTAGCGTTGTTTAAAATTTGACTCAAGTGCGCCCCCTAGATTATTCAAACTGTTATATCTCAGTGATATGTCATCCGATCTGGACCAGATTTTGGGTGCATCATTACTGAGAGCTGATGGACATTTTAGTTTTGTTGTTTAATATTTGACTCAAGGGCGCCCCCTACATTATTCAAACTGTTATATCTCAGTGATATGTCATCAGATGTGGACCATATTTTTGGTGTGTGATAAGTAAGCACTTAAACACGCAATGGTATGGTGGTTTTACTTTTGACTCAAGTGCGCCCCCTAGGTTAATCAAACTGTTATATCTCAGTGATATATCGTCCGATCTGCACCAGATTTTTGATGCTTGACTAGTGAGGACTTATGGACACAGTGGTGTTGTTGTTTAATATTTGACTCAAGTGCGCCCCCTATATAAATCAAACTGTTATATCTCAGTGATATATCGTCCGATCTGGACCAGATTTTTGGTGCTTGACTAGTGAGGACTTATGGACACAGTGGTGTTGTTGTTTAATATTTGATTCAAGTGCACCCCCTACATTATTACAGTTGTTATATATGCTGTTGCAGCTGATGTCAAAGGTTCTGTGAATGCGCACTCCGGAAAATGGGCGCGTGACAGTAGCGTGAGCGTTCTCCATGGCGACCGGGAAGAGTAGCTCGAGTTCCCACGGTCGCCATGAGGCCGCAGCGGCGCTTAGCTGCGAGGGCCTTCAACGCTGCTTGCAGCTTTAATTGTTTTTAAAATCTTAAAAATAGATCCAGACGCTGCTCCGCATCCAGAGAAATTGCAAATGGCGGCTCAGTGAAAAGTTTCTGAGATCCAGTGACTCCTCCCCCTGACCAATCAGAGTCCCGCATTCACGCTTCGGTCCAGACTCAGCTCGGCTGAGCTCGCTCGGTCCCACCAGAGAAGCAGGGACAAAAAGATGTCCTGAATCAGCCTCAAATCAGCTAAAAATACTAAAGTACTGGTGCAAAAGGGTTTTCTGTGGCGGGCTGCCCAGAATTGGGGCTTATTAGGGGCAGTGCAAACGGGGCATAATTTGACCATTAAAGTGCATTTATTAAATAAAAGCTCAACTGAGACACACCTTTGCTATAATTTTGAGCAAAAAAATAATTGTTTTAGGTGCTTTTCTTGTTAAATTCATCCTTCCTTTTTTTCCTCCCACTACACGCTCCCGGAGCACCGAGGCAGCGAATAATTTGGAAATACAGCTGATTTGACTGTTAAAGTCCTTTTATTAAGCAAACAGACTGAGACACACCTTTACTATAATTCCAAGCAAACAAATAATTGTTTTTAGGTGTTATCTTGTTAAATTTTCACAGCGACTTGTTGCATGCACGCATTTACTTCCGCTTATCGTCTTTTGAAATGCAGCTGATTTGACCGTCAAAGTGCATTTATTAAGCAAACGTTAGACTGAGACACACCTTTACTATAATTTCAAGCAAACAAATAATTGTTTTTAGATGCTTATCTTGTTAAATTTCGAAGAAATGCGGAGGTTCATCCTTCTGCGCGTGCCTGCCGCTTCCATGAATTGGGTTTTGAAATACAGTTGATTTGACTGTCAAAGTGCATTTATTAAGAAAAAGGTAGACTGAGACACACATTTTCTATTATTCTGAGCAAACAAATAATTGTTTTTAAGTGTTAAACTTGTTAAATTCTTGCTAAAGTCCTCCTATGAACGTTCCCACGGCCGACATTTGGCAGCCCATCGATTTTTGGCACAACATTTCTGGGTTCAGCCCACGTTTCCGGGTTGTCAGCGGTGACACGTGACACATAATAGATGCGACGTATATGGCGAAGCGACATATTTATGGATTTTTCCACTTTTTTTAGACATATTCGGACTGATGCGACTTATAGGATGGTGCGACGGGTACGACAGAAAATACAGTACATTTTCTTACTGAACTTACTGCCATTTTATTTCATCGTCAAACTGGAGAACGTTTTATTTGTTGGGTATTTTAACAGTCATGCTGATGTTCATTGGAAAGTTTATGACTTTTTGCTGATAATACTGTATAAACAACATGTCTATGGACAAACACATAAAACGGGTCACACCATGGACCTTGTCTTCTTCCTTTGTTCAAAGGTATTAATCTGCGTGTAGAGGATGTACTGGTACATGTCAGTGACCACAGCTGTGTGCTCTTTGATTTACATTTTTACCTCTAGATCTTTCAACACAAAAGAACAAGTTTCAGAGGTGCATATTTGATCAGAATGAGAAGTTATCTTCTTTGTTCAAACCGTGTTCTTTGACTAGATGTAGGGATGTTGAAGGTTTTATTGTCTTTTTACAGTCACTGCACAGCTATTTTAGATAAAGTGGCACTGTTTAAATATATTTTTACATTTTCATAAAAAGCCTTATTCCTGGATAAATATAACTATTCAGAATTCGAGGCAAAACTGTAATAAGAAGAGTGATCATGAAAATTAAGTGAAATTGAGGTTCACATAATAAAGGAACTAAATAATTTCTTATAAGTCAGTTAGAAATGCCAGAACTCAGTACTTTACTCAGCTGATATTTTATAACAAAATAAATCATAAGAAGCAGTTTGACACCATTTTTTCCATTGTGGCTTCTTTAGTTTACCATTCCAGGCAATAAGTATAACAGATAGTAATATTTTTGGAAAATATTTTTGTTAAGGTCAGTGATGTCAGGCAAACATCGCTCCATCAACCTCTCACAATTTTCCTTGTGATGTGTCTCCTCACACATGGTCTTCCTTAGAAACAGTGTCATATAAACCTCTAATCTAATGAATAAAATGAAGCCATCCACATTACCTGCTGGTATTTTAACTACTGTGTTGTTTAAAAAAAGGGTTTGTGCAACTGGTCCTACTATTGTTGAACTTTCAGAGGATGTGGTTTCCAGCTTTTCAAACATCCTGTTGTTGAACCAGTTTTTAAAAGCCCAACTTGAATTCAACTAAACAAGGAAATATCAGGCTGAAATGTAAATTAATATTTGTATTAAAAAAAAAGAAAAAGTTGTGAAAGGGCAATTTTCCAGTTTGTTTGAAGCACAATATGAGATCTCCATCTTCTCCTGCCTATCTGTAGTCTGGTATTGGAGGCAACAGGTCCAGGAGAGAAACCCAGTCCCTTTCCCTGGTGATGCTCTTCAGCTCCTCCTGGGAGACCTCAAGACATTCCCAGATCAGAGAAGAGACAATCCCTCCATCAAGTTCTGGGTAGGCCTTAGGTCCTTATCCCAGTGGGACATGCCCAGAAAAACTAGAAAAGGAGGCATCCAGGAGGCATTCTAACTGGATGTCTGAACAACCACTACCAGCTTTTCTCCTCTGAGCTCCTCCTGTTTGATGGAGCTTCTCACCCTATGTCTAAGGCCAGTCACACTATGAAGGAAGCTCATTTTGGCCACTTGTATCTTGGATGTCATTCTTTCGGTCATGTTCCAAATCTTATGACCATAAATATAAACCAGTAAACCAAGAGCTTTTGTCTTTGACCCAGCACTTTCTTCACCATGACTGATCGAAGCAACACCCTCAATACGAGGCTGAGGCCCCAGTCAGTCAATCCATCTCCTGATAGATGCTTATTTGTAAAATAAATAAATTAAAACAATGTATTGTTTTCCTTCCACTGGGCTACTTTGTGTTGATTCATCACATGAGCACTTTGTCAAATACTTTAAAGGTTGTGTTTATAAAAATATGGAACAATTCAAGGGGTATGAAGACTTTTTTTAAGGCACTGTACGTTTGAACTTTGCAGTTCCAGTCCCTTGCTGCTCTGTAAACAGGCTTCCCTCCTAGTCAGCAGTTACACAAAGGCAGTGGGTTACAGCAAGTTCATTTCACGTAAAGCAAGATGAGAGAGTGGAAGCCGAGCAGAGCGATGCAGCGCAGCACGACAGGCGGCAGAACAGGGACACGGCTAACAGGTCACAGAGGAAACGAGACGCAGCACACCGAGAGGAAGCAGACAGAGCCGACCGTGGGTTAGAAGAGAAGATTTCAACAGAGTCACTGAGGGTTCTGTGAACGTGTGTTTACCTTCAGGTCCCTCCTCTCCAGGTGCAGCAGCTCCGAGCCTTGGATGTCGTGTCGAATGAAGGTGTCTCTGTACTCCCCCAGGCTCAGCTGTTCCAGCCAGATGCCCACCTCTTCTGTGCCCCATCTCTCCACTACACACACACCACACACACATGCACACAAACAAAGACGCAAAGCAGAGCAGAGAGAGGCTCAGAGTGCCTCACAAGTACCACCTCACCTGCATCTCTCAATCATTTTGTTCATACACGTGTGAAAATACTATCCCACATGCAGATTCACAAAGATTATGGTGAATCATGTAGAGGGTGTGAGGAGTGAAGGAAAAGGGTGAGGGAAGTAGGAATGGAAGCAATGGTGGCGGCTGACAGAGGGAAGCAGAGGTCGACCAGGACAGATACTGGTCCGAACAAGGTCAGCGATGTTCAGGGTAGACTTTGAATGAAGAAATTAGTGTGTGGAGGGGGGGAGAGGGGTGGTCATGCATTTCATGAACCAATGTCAGAACACAGCAGAGCAAGTCAGAAGTACGAGGAGGCAGAAGCTTGTGAGGTCTGAGGGAAGTTCAGTTCGACTAAGCAGGAACAAGCCTGCAAGGAAAGGGATGACTGTTACACAAACTTTCCTAAGCTCTCAGTAACATTTTATATCAAAAATGCTGACATAAACTTTCTACCACACCTTTTTCATGTAGCCATAGCTAAATATATTAGATTGTTGCTAACACATCTGTATGAAACCCTACATCCCGGTGCAGGTTTCTTATTACTTTGAAGTCCCTGGAACACGTTGGCAGCTGGATGAGAGCATGAATGGGTTGGAGTGGAGGCAGACAGAGTTGATGACTCAGACTGTGAGATGTAAAACCTCAAGCAAACACCCTTGTTTTACAATCAACAGCTTTATATGAGACTATGACACTTAAAGAGGAAGCTTCTCCATCACATCTTTCTGTTTTCCAAAAAGGTTAATTATCTGAACATTGGAATAAACCCAACTTTAAAACTGAATGAAGCAAAGTGGTGTCTGTACTAATGTTTAATCTGATACAGATTAGACCCTCACTGGGTCTCATTCCTGAGCAGATTTGAGTTCTCTCTGCTCAGTAGGGAAGAAAGAGTGTGCACAACATACCTGATTGAGGGCTTGACTTCTTGACGGCCTTCTCCTTCTTGAACTTGGGGACTATGCGAAACATGCTGCTCCGACTGTTCCTCTTGCCGTAATCCAGAGAGTTGTCCTGGTACATAAGCACAGTCAACCTACAGCCTTTCATTTAGCTACTCAACTCTCGTTACTTGGAGGCATGATATAATAAAGAGGACTTCACCACCACAAAATATTGGATCATTGTGAGATAAGATACTTTGTTTTGGTTTTGAATAAGCTTTTTGGACATTACTTTCAGCTCACATGGATTTCTTTTTGGCACCATTAAAAAAAAAAACAACAACTAGCAATCATCTTTGACCAAGGCCTATTCTTTTATTTATATTTATACATTAACGTTTCTAAAACATTTTTCCCCATCTTTGCAGCATTTATAAAGTTAAACACACTTTTAGATGACACTGAAAACCTGGTCCATGCCTCCACTTGTACCAGACTAGAGGATCTCAACCCTCACCTCAGCGCTCACAGTCCTGCATGGTTTTGACGTTTTCCTGCTCTAAAACATGATTTGATGGAATCAGTGACCTCCTCATCTTAAAATTAAGTTTAACAGAAGTCTGTTAAGGACTCATTCATTTAATTTGGGAATTCTGAATGGGACAGAAACATCTAAAACATGCAGTAGCATACAAGGACCAAGAATGGGGACCGCTGAACTACAGTACTGTGATGCCATTCTAGCTGGGTATCCTCAACACTTTAATACAGCTTACTGAAAATGCTGCAGCTCGAGTCCTTGCAGGTAATTAGAAAGCTGCGGACACACAACTTTTAGAAGATTTACAGATTTTGAAAGGACTTGGAGTACACATTAAAGACTGGCTTCAGTCAGTTTTTTCTATGACAAATGAAAAACTGGGGATCACACAGTTAAAAACTCAGCCTGATGAGGGATCCCAGACTTCATGATTTGTGGAACCAGTAATGCCCACTGAATGCATCACTTGCAAGGGCAACAATGAATATGGTAAACAAAACATGGAAGACAGTCAGCTCCATGATGATTTAGTCTAAATCGGAGTTTTCCAAACTTTTCCATGCCATGGCCCCCAAACAGCATTAGCTTCTGGTCAAGGCCCCCCCTTGCAAACCCACAAACAATGCTACAAAATATGTCAAGAAACATCAACTTTTAAAATGTTTTCACTTTTATTCACTATATTCAATTAATTATTACAGTTGCTGAGCATAAAAAAGTTATTAACTATCGTGTTTTAAACATATTCCCACTGAAAAAAACAACTTTTCAACAAACTGTTGACCAGAAGAACAAAACTAAATAAATCGAACCTCTCTCAAGTGTGTTTATCTGGAAATGACAGAAACAGATTGCCCTAGTGTGCAATTTTTATTATTATTACTATTTTTTATTTTTGCTTTAAAAAAAAAAAAAAAAAACTTCTCTCCAGCTTTCTGAGGCCCCCCTGGCGGCCCCTGGTGGCCCCCACTTGGAAAAGCACTGGTCTGAATCACAAGCTGCTCTTCTCACACTACTTTCTGTGTCCCACCCTCTCTTTTTTCATTGGCTGTTGGACACGTGTTGCAGGTGGGTCAGTAATTTGTTTGCATTTCCCAACTGTCCAGATCTGACTCCAGAAATTCAAGCATGTTTGACTGACTGTGGCTGAGGTGCCCAAATGGGAATTATGGTAAGAATCTGACAACATAAAAATTATGTAGCTGAAGTGTGTTTTGTGTAGTGTCCTCAGTTTGAGAGATCGTATTTCTCCCATTTTAGCCTCTTCTCGTGAATAACAGAATGCATTTAAAAATCCTCCTCCTATCATATAACCAGAACGGTCAAGCTTCAGCATATTTTAAGCTTGTACAACACAACGAGAACACTTTGCTTCAGCATGCGGTTTATTAGATGTTATAAGAATTAGAGATTGGCTGATATGTGTTTGGAGACATATCGGTATCTGTGATAATTGTCCCATTATGTGCTGATATAAACACTGGGAATGAGCTGTTTCCTTACTTTAAAATGATGTAATTGTACAATGTATCCAGCAGAGGGTGCATGTGGACTACTTTCAAGTCATGCCGTTCACGTTAGCTTTCACTTTCACTTTCAGCACAGTCGAAGCAACGAGCAACTAAATACTGTGTAGTGTATTTTGTTGAACAGAGCATGATAAGTTTATTTTAACTGATCTGTTAAACAAACAACAACCAAAAAAAAAACAACAATAATAAATTCTCTTTAATCCTCCAACCTGCTTGTCATTAGCTATGTGCCCCTCAACTTAGCACGCTAACATTTAGATAGCCTAGCATAGGTTATTGCCTTGTAAAACTTTATCCAGAACAATAAATCTAACGTAGAGGTAAATATCAGTGTTAGTAACGTTATCTTTGTCGTCCTTAATGAAATGCATTTTTTGTCTGAAACATTTACTTCTCTGCAAAGAAAAATAAACATTGCTGTGGTCAATACTACGGTAATTAGACCTTCATCATACTGACTGACTGACTAAACAATTAACAGGGGTGTTTCTTTGTTAAATTTATATTTTGTAACACACTTGATAACTTTATGGTGAATAGTGGGGGATAGAAAATGTGAAGGTACGTTAGGAAGACTGTTCCAAGACTTTGTGTTAAAACAGGCTTAAAAGTAGCTGTTTACTTAGGACAAAGCAAACAATTTTCATCCATCATATCAGTTATCGCCAATAGGCTTCCCCTCCCAGTATCGGTATCAGTGATGGCCAAAATTTCCATATCTGTCGGGCTCTACTAAGAATATCTAGAACGTTCTTTGTTTTAACGTGTCATTATGCACTTATATGCATTGATTATCATACATTAAATTCAATTCCATTTTTATTGCTTTTCTTTTTTTAATTTACTTATTTTTGCTCTATTTAATTAATTTAGTTTTTAATTCTTCTTATACGTGGTGTTCTTCTGTGTTTGAGGTTGAGGCTGAGTAAAGTTGATGGACTCTGTATTTTATTCTACATTTTACATAAATTTCTAGGCTCTACAGTCAAAATTTGAATAAGGGTAAAAAAAATAGAATGTGTAAAAAGATGGTACATAATATGTGTAACTCAGAAGAAAACCTGTAAGGTCCTACTAGTAAACAGAGAAAGTTACATTTCTAAACTTCTTTTTTTCAAGTCTGAACATAAAGAATTCATTTGTGTCTTTATGACTTTTTAAAGACTTACAGGTAAACTATTTTAAGTTTCCTAACACTCATCTGTAAAACAGGATTTTTTTAACTGTTTTTTTTTTTGTCCATTTTTAGCTGGTGTTCTATTTTATGTAAATATTTTCTAAAATATTAACTCAATCTAAAAAAATTAAATTAAAAAATTAACTCAATCTAATCCTGAGCATTGATTAAAAAAAAAAACAGACAAGCAAAGAAATAAGTCATTACCCTGGCCAAATATGAGTTAACTTTTTTTTTTTTTTTAACCACACCAGTCCAATGTACAGAATATAAATAACCTAATTATTTCCTCAACAATAATTTTCCATCCACCGATTTTTAATTTTACAACTAATTAATATATAGCATCTATTTTCAGTTTGTTTTATAATGCAATTAGAAGTTTAAATTTGAGAAAGACTATAGCAAAAATATTTATTAAAGACATTTTCGTGTGGCACAGAGGATCAGTTGGTAGAGCTGCCACCACTCAGCGAGAAGGTCGCCGGAATGAATCCCTGCTGGGGGGCTTTTCTGGGTAGAGGTAGCATGTTCTTTTTGGTGCATGCGTGTGGTTTCTCCAGGTACAGTAGTCCCTCATTTATCACGGGGGATCTGTACAAGGAGTAAGTAGTAGTTTTTTGTATTATTTACATATGTATATGAAGGCATTTTCAACCCTTCCCACCCTTGCAATATTCTAAACAATGTTTCTAAACTCTAAACGCTTTACAAGAGCACAGACTGTCACGAGTTCAGCTCTTTGCCTCCGCTGCTCTCTGCCAGTGCTCTCAGCCACGCCCACTTTTCCACCGCAGAGAGATCTGACACGCTGCAGGAGGAAGCTTCTCCTGCAGTTGTGGGCTGCACCAGGCACAACATGTGCTAAATAACTTGAAATAATTTATGTTAAATAAAAATGTCATGCCGATGGTGTGGCTCATCCATCAGTCAGCCAATTGTGTGTCATGTCCACTCTTATTTTGAAAAACCACGATAGAGCGAGTCCGTGAAAAATGAACCACAATTTAACGAGAGACTACTGTACTCCAGTTTCCTCCCACAGACCAAAACATGCATGTTAGGCTGATTGGTAAATCTAAATTGTCCCTAGGTGTGAGTGAGAGAGTGAATGGTTGTTTATCTCGTTTGTCTCTATGTGTCCCTGTGATGGACTGGAGACCTGTCCAAGGCGTCTCCACCTCTCAGACAGGGACTGCTGGATATGGGCACCAGTGACCCCCATGACCAGAAAAGGATGAAGTGGATAAAAGATGAGATGGATGGACATTTTCCTATTACTTCTGTCATCTTACATTCCAAGCTTTGACAAAGTTCTGGACAGTCAAGAAAATATAAATAAATCTCAATAATTTCCATGAAATGTTTAAATGTGAAACCTTGTACATTTTCACATCACAGTTATAAAAATTGGAAATGAAAAAAAAAAGTGTTGCTGTTGTCATTAGTTTTAGAGAAGTGTGTGTGTGTGTGTGTGTATGTGTGTGTGTGTGTGTTTGAGGCTGCTTACTTCGTCATCATTGGGCTGCAGAATGTGGTAGAGCCAGAGGATTTCTCCCAGTTTGCCCAGCTCCAACTCCACACACTGCAGTGCGCTGGACAGCTGTTCCTCCTCAGGTGGGTCCAGTTGCTGCAAAAGGTTGGAGATACGTTAACATATTTTACCTCAATTAAAAAAAACAAGACTATGAGTACAAGCAGGGAAAACATTTTATTTTTTAATTAAGTTTTGGATACTTTAAATTATTATAAAAAAAATAAAAAACACTCATTTGAGAACTGACCAGAGAGACTCGACCCAACAGAAGAGACTCAGTCTCATTATGTAGGGCCTTTACTGTGCTGGCAACCTCGATAGCTGTGTTCCTCGTCAAGCTCTGTAGAAGAAGCACAGCAGTTCTGTAGCATTATGTTTCACACTTAAGTCTCAGAAAAAACAGTCTGCAAACCAGTTCTAAAACCAGTTTCGGTTTGGAACAGACTTCAAACACTTTTCAAGGGTTTCACATGGATAAACGTATGGAGGTAACTGTCCTTCCACCAAAAGTTGGATCAAAATTATACTTTTGCAGAAATGGTGCCAAAAACATAATTTTCGAGCTGCCACGTTGAGGAGAAAATTAAGTAAAGAGATGCAACTTTTACATACCTATAAGTTTGAATGTAGTTATTTTTAAAGCAATTTAAGCTCAAGTAAATAATAATTGGTAGGATGTAACAGTACAGCCAAGTTAAGAATTGGTACGTACCTCAGTATGAGTCACTGTTTGGTACAATAGGAAAGAAATATGCAAAATTCTGTAAATTTTAGTTTGTGTTTTTTAAAGAAAGCACTCTTACTAAGGGGGGAGAGTCTATGGTAAGTCTACCTAATGTGAAAATACAAAATAAACTATATATGAAACTCCTGATTCATGCTCAATAATCCAAGTAGAAAAATCCAACAAAGTTAAGTCACGTCCTCTGGACGGTTTGTTTTTGTTGAAACGTTTTGTCTTTTACCCAAAAGACTTCATCATTCTGAGGAGCCACAACAAACTGGTTGACCCACTATGTGAAGGTGCTGTTAATAAGACTGAGTTTGTTGCAGCTCCACGGACTGATGAAGTCTTTTGGTTGAAAGACGAAATGTTTCAACAAAAACAAACCATCCAGAGGACCTGACTTAATTTTGTTGGATAAATATGAAACTCTCAGGTTTCTTAGCAAGTGAGTGCTGGTGTGGTAAAATGAAGCTTGCACTCACGCAGCATAACTCTTTGCCATACACAGTGAAATACTAAAGGGACAGAAATAAACCTAATAAATTTAACTGTGTCACAGTTTTTAAGGTTGGTCTGCAAGCTGACTCATGGAGCTAGAATAAAAACTAAAAAAAAAAAAAACAAACCTCAAATTACTTTTTAGCTGTAGTGACAACTTAACAAATAAACCTAACAAAGACAACACAAATAAACATGGATGGGAACCAGACATGGCGTGTAAAATGTTCAATGCTCCACCGAGGAATGAATGCAAGCAGAGCAACTACAAAGTACTTTGCTGTATCATTTCGGTACAGTCTTTACCCTTTATTTTTTACTGTGCACATGCAACTCATCTCTCCCTGCTGCAGTCGGCCATGATCTTTGGGAATGCAGTTATTTCATCGTAGCTGATTAGTCTCAAACAAGTACATGTATATTTACCAGCTATAGTTTATTTTCTAATCCAGTAATGTATGCTTTGCTTTATGTAGAGTGCTTGAATAGAGTATACTTCTGCTTCTTTTTGTAGAAGCTGTTAGCAAAATGCATGTAAATAAAATGCATGCCCACTTCTACATGGCAATTACGATTGCCTACGACTTATCTTTTATGTAGTTTACTGCACCAACCCTAACCATCTGTAACAATTTTTCAGGCTATGGATACCATCACATCTCCAATATCTACCCTTTATTTTGTTGTTGGGTTACTTACTGCTCATATTCAAGACAGAGGGTTGTGTATCTCTCATCTGTGGCAGATAATAATAATAAATAATGTATGTGTTGTCATTATTGTATGTTCCCATACAATGGCAAAACTGGCTCTCTGTATTTAACCCATCCACCCCCAGGTGGTGCAGTAGGCAGCTATTGAAAGCGCCTGGGGAGGAAATTGAAGATAGGGTGTGTTGCTCAGGGACACCACGAGATATGCGATGACTAGGGATCGAACCTGGGATTTTTGGGTCTCGAGTCGGCTGCCCTGCCTCTACCCCATCTTGGCCCCAAGATACTGTAGGTATAATAGTAGTATAATAGTATAATGTCCACAATCTGATTTATTAAATATACTTGATTAAATAAGATCAGTGAAAAGTTGTAGATTGATGAATCAATACACAAACTGTATTGGCATATCACGTGCATTTTCTATAAAGCAACATTGTAAAAAGTTCCTTCAAAACATTGCTCATGTTGGTTTGAACCACAAAGTTAAGTCAGTTAAATACAACATAATTAAATCCACAGTGTGTTGTTCCATATGTGCTGATGGCTCACCTCTGGGAACTTTGGGTGTGTTTTGTTGATGGCATGAGACGCAGCATTAACAGCATGAGCCAGCTCCTGCTCTAGAAGACCATTGGTTTTTGCAGCTTCACATATCCTGGGATTGATTAGATGGGGCACTCGATGGGTTAGGTTCAGGATGTAAGAAGCAGAGAAAGATCTCATGCTGATGACTGTCCCTGTTTACCTTGTAATGAGCTCCTCGGCAGCTCGGGCACACATCTGCAACAGGACAGCCTCTTCCTCAGTGGCCAAGTCTATAGACTGCTGAGGGTAAAGGTGAGGCCGTAAAGGAGGCTTGTCATATTTCAGCTTGTCCTCCCAAGATTTCAGTGTGTTCTCAAATGCCTGCAGACATTAATCAGAGGACAGGTGAGTATCAAAGGAATTCATGTTACAGTTATATTATCTCAGCATTTCCATCCAGCCAATGATCCTCACCCGGTCTCTGGTGAGCATCTGGGCTCTGTTTTTGTGCTGGATCTTGATGACTCCAGGGGGCTGGATCCAGGCCTCACCATCTACCTGAATGGGAACACCTTCATCGCCCAGGATGGTTATCTTCACTGTTCGACACTGATTCGGGCAGAGACTCGGATCAGATTAACTGCATTTCTTTCACTCTGTGACATTGTTAGTGTGCAGCACACATCATACCCAGTGGTTGCAGTTTTATCGAAATGATTATCATGTTATACCCAGTGGTTGACGTTTTTTTACAATATGATTATTTTTTCAGACAAAATGATTATTGCTTCATCCCCAGTGGTTGATGTCTTGATTAAAGTGATTATCATTTTGGCCCCTGTGACTCAGGGTTCTTACAAAGTGATAATCACTTCATGTTGATGTTTTGTGCAAAGTGATTATAAAATTGTATTCAATAGTTGATGTATCTACAAAGTGATTATCATTTTGTCTACAGTGTTTTGTGCCAATAGGGTACAAAACTGTCACCATTTCATATCCATGCACGCACCGTAAACCAGTACGTCACACATTATCAGTATTGGCACCGGCTCAACACAACCCTGCACAAGTTCAAGTTGTTCTTTATTTATTTGCAGTGTTATTGTCTGCCACAATCATAATGTGCTCATGGATCTGCAGTAAACACCTGTTAAAACAATAGCTGCTTACACTATGTGATGACAATTATCTGTCCTGTGCACAGGCATAATGTTCAAGTCTAAGTGTTTAAAGTGCACCAGGCTGGCAATAGATAGATTGATTTAGCTATATTGATGTGTATTAACTGGCATGAAAACATTTTATTTAACTTTGCTGAGAGCTGTATATCTCTTCTATATTTGTAGCTTAATGCCTAAATTAAAGAAAATTGCATATTTAAATGTCTGCCTTTTTATGAAATGGAGTTATTAAAAAAATATTAAGCCCCATAATGCCTATGGTCTAACCACACCAATGATAATAATCCCAACATTAAAACTGTGTAAAATACTCAAGTGAATTGAAATATGAATGTGTCAGCTGTCATTGTGGGTACAAAGCAGTGACAAGTTTTGTACAAAGTGGCCAAAGGTGAGTATTGAGTGTAGACGGGTACAAAGACACCAGTGGCAGGTGGCTAGTTTTTGTACCCTAAAGGTAAGTAGTGATCAAAGCTGCAAAAGTTCAGTTTGGAGTATAAACAGACCTGGAGTTTGTTAGTGTGTTCTCTCACCTGTGCTATACGATGGTGTTGGAGTTTGATGACTCTGGAAACAGCCATCTGCATGCTACCAAAAACAGCCACGACCTCCAGAATCTTATCATCAAATGACGGAGCACAGAAGATCTGCAAAAACATAAGTATAAAAATTGTGGTATGGACAATTTTCTATTGGTTTTTGTAGAGTACAGTATTCCTTCGTTTATCGCGAGGGAGCGGCACCCTGAAGACCCATGATAAGTGCAAAACCGCGAAGTAGGAATAATAGTTCAAGAAGTTTAGTTTAGTATTTTGATATATAATTTTATAAAAATATGATATTTATTTATTTATTTATTTATATACTGTATGTTATTATATCCTCCTATTTTATATATAATATAAATATTCACACACTCTTGCAATATTCTAAACAACGTTTCTAAATTCCAAACACTCTAAAAGAGCACAGAATGTCATGATTTCAGCTCCCTGCCGCAAGCACTCTTGGCCACGCCCACTTCTCCGCTCTGCACGGAGAACAGCTGATCAGCTGCAGCAGGAAGTTTATCCTGCAGTAAGGATTGCATAAAGAGGCAGGAGGAAGCTTTTTCTGCAGCTCTGGGCTGCACAAATGTGCAGCAGGTGCTAAATAATATAAAATAATTTATTTTAAATAAAAATTCCATGCCAACTGTGCAGCCCATCCATCAACCAGCCAGTTGTGTGTCATGTCCAATCTTATTTTGAAAAACCACGACAAAGTTAGTCCGCAATAACCGAACTACGAAGTAGCGACGAACTACTGTTCAGAACTTGTTACATTTTTAGGGCCTTTTATTTAAGGCAAAACTTTACAAACATAATTACAGAAACACTACTCATTTTATTAGAGAATAAAAATAAAAAAACGTTTGATAATAAAATAATATAAGTATAAAAAATATACTGTAGTTAAAACGGTTATAATTAATCAATAAATACACAAAATATTATATAGAAAATCTAAATCTAGAAACAAAACAATAATCCGTGAGTAACAATGAAAAAAATAGTAAAAACAAATGAAAAAAGTCTACAGCAAAATAAATAAATAAACAAAATATATTTTAAAGGGAACTTAATTTAAAAATTCACTTATTTCATGTTGGAAAAAAACACTAAAGTGAGACAGAAAAAAATAATCACAGGAAATATTAAAAACTAGAACAAAATCAAAACTTTTTTCAACATTTTTTTTTTTAAATCAAAAGACTAAACAAACAATAGCATTTTAGGACCACTCAGAAAAAAATGGCAAGAAGAATTTTTATTTGGTTCTAAGTTTCAAGATGAGTCATAATATTAAAGAAAACAAAAACTTTTTTCTTCTTTTACTTTTTGAAAATCAAATATAAAAAAGCTTATTTTGGAAATTAAATGGAGATCAAATAAACTGTCAATGTCACACAAATGGTAGAAACAACATAAACTGAAGAATAATCACAAGAAAGGTCAATTATTTTATTTTTACTGTGTGTATATA